TCAAATTGGCTGGTTTCTCCAAGTCTTACACGTAATTAGATATCGCTCCCACCATCTTAATTAGCGCAAAGCTTACAAATGAAATTCGGGTCCCCGGCCAACGGGTCGGGTAAAAGCTAGTAATTTAAAGTGTAAAACCAAACAAATTCCAAACGTTGATAAGAAAAGAATACCACCGGAAAACGTTTCGATGCCTCCGATTATGACAACCGGAAAGGGGGAAAACCCCGAATGCCTGGACATGGAAATTCCCGGCCACAAACAAAAATATATACCTAATAATCAAAACAATCACCGAAGCATGATGGTATCAGGTAGGGGTGGTAATCGGTAAACCAGTATCCGGTATACCAGATACCGTACCGGATACCGAAGGTATTCGGTATACCGAATACCGTCGGTATTGGTATTCGGGCGTGTGATTTTACATTCGGTAATACCGGATAAGAGTCGGTATTTACCGACGGTATACCGGTATACCGATTATAAAAAAAAAAGTAAAACGCGGTGCAACCCTAAAAAATTGGAGACCCAACAGCCTTCCTCCCTCTCGTCTTCCTCTGAGCAGCCGCCTCTGTAGCAGTAGTGGGAGGCGCTTCGATGGCGGTGGAAAAACCAAACCGCCCTGCTCTGCTCTGCTTTGCACAAACCCAAAAGCCAAGTTCCAGTCTTTTCTTCTTCTACCACCTCCTTCTTTGCCGCCTCTTCTGAACAATTTTTAATTGCCCCTCTGATATAGACGAAGAAACAGAAATGAAACAGAAAACAATGCAAACATTCAAAGAGAAGAAATGAAGGGGAAAAAAAAACAGAGCAGAAAAACTAATTGAAACTGGGTAACTGAGAGTGGTACCCACCTTCAAATCATGAACCAAAATTTTGAGAGGATGAGGTTAGATGATTGAAATTGAGAAGTGAAGTGATACCCACCTTTGATTTTGCGGATGGAGTTTTCTGGGTTCTTCAAAGTTCAAATCTTTGGACAAGAATACTAAGTGGTGTCCTTCTAACCGGTATTCGGTATACCGGTATTAATACCGGATACCGACTATTCGGTATTCGGTATACCGGTTACATTCGGTAACGGTATTCGGTGGGTACACTGTCTAGTTCCGGTATACCGAATATCGGATAATCGGTATCCGGTATACCGGATACCGACCGATTACCAGCCCTAGTATCAGGCACTGACCATCATGCACTGAACGTAATAGGGATAAAATTAAATAAATAATTTTCGAAGACTGCATTTGGTGTATTGGTGACCACAAGTTTAAACTCCTTTATATACAAGTTTCACATAGGCTCCCATAAAACCCAAGGTGAACAAGTATTGGGCTTCCACCCATTTAGGCCCATATCAATACAAGACATCTTTTGGCTTCTGATTTATATCACTTTCAATTAGCTCACATAACCAAATAGCTCATATAATTGTCAAAATATTTGGCCCATAACATTATAGGAAATATAATTTCTTAACAGACCGCTACAAGGTACGGGTTGTGTTGGATTTTTAGTGGTGTGAATGGAAATGAAAGGGGAAAGTTCCAAAGAGTCTCTTGAAGTACCATGTTGGTAAGATGTGGGAAGTCACGACCTTGAATTCGATCGATTAATCGGTTAAATTGGTTTGTGTACTAAACGGACCAAACCAAACCGAACCGATATGGCGGTTGGAATAACCAAACCGGTCCAACTACATAGGCCGAACCGATACAATGGTTCATTATTTTAAAACGAAAAAATGTGTTGGTTGGGGTGTAACCACCCATACGAAGAGTTGCCTCCCTTCATTTTCTATAAATAGCATCTAACCCCCTCTGGATTTTACATGGTTTTTTCCGGTACCAAAAACTCAGCTAAATTCAAAACTAGTTTTCTGCATTCTTTTCAAAGAGAAAATAGAGTCAAGTGTGGTTCTCGCCGGTTCGCTGCGTTCGATGGGTTCCGGGGTTTGAGGTACCGCTACGCCGGAAAAGGTACGTCCTTTCTATCATGGGAGGAATCATTCCATAACCTTGGGTACTAGAGGGGAATAAGATTCTTTAAGGAGAGATAGTGAATTCTATCGGCTAGGACGCTTGCATGTGTCTTTGCATGTTTTCTTAATATTATGTGTTTGCTTGTGTTGCAAGAAAAAATAGTATACGTGAACAATTTCCACAACAGGTTGGAGGTCAAATTGTGTCATTTTTTTCTTTTGTTTGCGAAATACTCCTATTTTCGTATTTTTATTTTCTTCTAACTCAACCTTTGGAATCCTAAGTTGAACATTTGAATATTGATGTTATATAAGTGTGTGTGAATTTTCACTATATGTTGATCTAAGTACGACATGTTATTTTGGAGTAATAAAATATGTTATAACTCATATGTTAAATGAGATTTGATATAATTTTTCAGGATAAGTACAATATAATGACTCTTTCCATATTTCACTAGTTCTCCATATAATCGCTACAAGGTACCGGGTTGGAGGTTAAATTGTGTCATTTTTTTCTTTGGTTTGCGAAATGCGCATTTTTCGGATTTTTCTTTTCGTCTAACTCAACCTTTGGAATCCGAAATTGAACATTTGAATATTGATGTTATATAAGTGTGTGTGAATTTTCACTATATGTTAGATCTAAGTACGACATGTTATTTTGGTGTAATATTATATGTTATAACTTATATGTTAGATGAGATTTGATATAATTTATCAGGATAAGTACAATATAATGACTCTTTCCATATTTCCGGGCTAAACCGGACTAAACCAGGTGACCCATTAACCCTTGACCCACTAGTTCGACCGGGTCAGAGTCAGCCCACGGGTTGACAACCTTGACTCACATCAATTACTTGCCAACAATAATTTGAGTTATTTGCAGGTGAATTACTGTTAAACCGCGGATCAACCACTCACCTGCGCTAATATTATGTACGATTTTACGTGATACTATGGTTAGGGGTGGGCAACGGGACGGGACGGGATACCCGTCCCGTTTTAAACGGGTACCAGGTCCCATTTGGAGACCAAAGTTCATCCCATATCCCAAACCCACATGGGAAACGGGTACCCATTACCCGTATGGGACGGATAAGGGGTACCCATACTACCCATAAATACCCAAAGTTTAAATCACATTTTACCCATATTCTGCGAGCACCAAAATTATGGTTTTCATCATCATCGTTTAACTCGCACATGTCTATTTGTCCCTAAGCAAACTACTTACTACATAAACTAAATTCAAACTAAAATACTCAGAGGATGTGTAGAAAACAAATCACCTGTTCTAGAGAAGTCAATGGGAACATAGCAAAGAACACTATAACCTTCCCGGTAGACTGACTCCGTCTCAGCGAAAAACAATCGAATGTCAGAAGGGTTGTATTGCCCGGCGGCGGAGGATGAACCATCAATTACATTGACAGACTTGGCAGTAAAGATGGCGTGGACGATAAGGGTACCAAGAAACAGAAAACACTTGCTGAAGATGGGTTCATCCAGCTCAAAGTTTGAATGGGTACAACGGGTACCCATATTACCCAAATGGGTATTCGCGGGTAACCCGCGGGTACCCATATTAGGACTGTACAATCCCAATTCTCATCCGTTTAAAATATTACGGATAATATGAGTACCCGTAACCCTTAAAAAACGGGACGAGTACGGGTATACTCAAATACCCGTTCCCCGTTGCCCACCCCTACCTATGGTGATAGTGACTCGTAATCCAAACTGGACTTGGCTGGATAATGGATATAAAATGAAAAAAAAAAACGCATTAAGAGGCCAACAAAAGGCCCAATCATCAAATCAATCCAGTAGGGCTGACCGGATCGTTGAATTTTTCAAGCCCACTTTTTTTATTTTGCCATGGAGGCCCATCATCGAACCTGCTAATCTACTTTCGAACTTCATTCAGTCGTTCATACAGCTGAACAAATCACCACCGCTTGGAGAGTTCTTTGAGTAGCAGCCACCAGCCAAATGGCCACTACTTAAACGTTGCATAATTCAGCCACAACCAATCTCCACGTTTCTTTGTTCGTGTCAGATAATATTGAAACAACTTATAAGGAAACTCTTTTTTATTGCAAATTACAAGCTAAACCTAGTTAGACCATGCCAAATTGTTGTCCTAATCGACCAAACTACCTATGAGAATTGTATAGCAAATTTTTATGAAGAATGCAAGTTATTATAACTAATTGATTGTTGAAATTGATATAAGAGCATCTGATTGTCAATAGGTGTTGTCTTCGAATTTAGAAGGTTTTCGATATTAACGGTTAATATATGCATTAGGTATATAGCATATATGTACAAACTTTAAATTCGTAGGATTTACTTTCGTTATAAAACCTCTCTTTACCACTCGGGTTGATGGAATTGACGGGTTCTTAACGGAGCTATCATTCTCAAACATGTATTGGATGAAATTTCTCTCTGCAACACAAAATTGTCAAACTAACTGATTCTTAATAAAACCTGTAATTTTCTCCATATAATCGCCGAAACCTTAAAAGTGAGGGATATTTTAATTATTTGCTACTTAAAACGTATTCCAAAATGAAATTAAAAACTACGTTCGAACTCGACTTCATTCTTTTTTTTTAGTTATAAAAACTAAGTTTTGGTTTTAGTTTGGGATGATAACATGTTATACTTCTTATTTATTGCAAGTTTAACAAAATACAACACTATTATTTACAATTTAGACAGTGACGTGTGTTTTGCCCCGTACCCCAAATCCAGCGGTGGCGGCGAGTTGGGCCAAATCGAGATGACAACAGTTTGTGAATAACAACCGCGACAACTCAACTCAACGCCCCTCCCAAAATAGAAGCCGCATCATCGTCCTTTTTCTGGCCGGTAGCGGCGCCTCTTCGACACCTCCGCCGTCTCCCTGACAACTCCTCCGCCCCCGACCGTCGCCACGCCCGCCGCTGCGGGTCCCACCTCTCTCTTTTATAAACTATAAAAACAAAAAACCGAAATTATCGAAGAAAAGAAGGAGAAAGAAAAAGAAGGCCAAGAATATGCTTTACTCTTCTCTGTAAATATACTTCCTTTTCTTTTCCCCCTCTCTTCAATCCCTTCCTTTTTTTCTCTTCCGCTTGCTCCGATCCTTTTCTTTGTTCTCAACAACGTTTACTCCCTCCGCTGCCTTCCCCCACCCACCGCCGTGATAATTTCCGTCGGTTATCCTTTCATTTCCAGGAATCTTTTCTTTCTTTTTCTCCTCTGGTAGTTGAGCGGACATGGAGCTTTTTCAGGAGCTCGTGCTCACCTTGCTTGTGGCAGTTCTCTCCTCTTTTCTCATCGCCAAAGTCGTCTCTAAAGCTACCGGCGCCAGTCCCGGTCACGTGGACGATTCTTCCGAGGCCGCTTCCCCTGCCCGAAGCCGTGATCAGAAGGATTCGGGAGACGTGAGTGAACAAGTTATCATGGAGGAATTGAATTACGCAGGAAAATTGGAATCTAGGGGTCTCGAGAGCGAAGGAAGAGTCGAGTTTGTTGCTGAATCGGTGGATAGAGTTGAGGAATTCGTCGGAGAACCTGCTCCGATTGACGAGGAAATGAGCGGAAATGAATGCCGTGAATTGACTGGGGAAGTTGTTCCGACAGAGGTGGAGCAGAGAGGAGAAACTGAAATCGTTGCCCAAGAGGCGAAAGAAGGTGAAGCGGTTGAGATGGAATCAGCTCAGCCGCCTGAGGAAATTACCACGGCGGTGGCGGAGGAATCGAGCGATGAAGTTGTTGGGGGTGAGAAAGTGGAGATTGAGATAGACGATGATTGGGAAGGGATTGAGAGGACCGATTTGGAGAAAGTGTTTGCCAAGGCATCCAAATTCGTGGAGTCGGGATATGGGGAAGAGAAGTTAGCAAGCGTGGGGAGTGATGTGCAGATGGAGTTGTATGCTCTTCACAAGCTTGTTACTGAAGGGCCTTGCCATGAACAGCCACCAATGGCGCTCAAGCTCTCTGCTCGTGCCAAATGGTATTCAACATTTTCCTTGAATAATTCGTCTGTAACTTTTTTTTGTATTTTACTCTTGATGCTTTGATATGTTTATACTGATTTCTGGTTGCATTGAATTGGATGATTGGATGCACAAATATGCCTTGCTTAGTATAGCATAGAATTGTTGGCCGTAAGGAGGAAAATGCAGTGGATAGTGTTAGGTTGCAGGGTTTTGAACTGAATGAACCTTTAGAAACAGTAGAATCCACCTGTAACAATGTGGGTTCCAAGTGCTGAAAAAGAAGTGGGCTGCATCTGAAGTTGACATTGGAGTCTGAAAGAGTTTACCTTTATCGAATTGCGAAGAATTATAAAGAAAGGAAATGGCGGTACAGAGCAAAGACACACTGATGCGGGTATGTTCACCCTGCATCCTGAATTGAGAATATAGAAGAGATTTAGATTGGATGAGAAGAGAATTGGGTAGAATTAGGGGATATAGAATTGGGGATCAGGGTTCTTAGACCAGAATAGAGGGGATTAGGGTTGAATTCATATATCCATCACACACCTTAGAGCCTGAGGGCATGCCTTGACCAAGTTGGACGTTATAGTTTGATTTTAAGTTATATATAACAGGGGGTTTACAGTGAGTGACGGAGAGCCACTGATTACGTTGTGCAAGGAATTCTTGGCAAAAGCTGGGGAATATGGATCCAGAAGCGGCGATGGAGCAGTATGTCACTCTTCTATCCGACAATGTCCCACGGTGGACTGAAGAAAAAACTACTGTAAGCATGTTTTTTCTCAGTGCAGGGCTATTCTGCTTCTTCTGGTGTTGACATGTTGATTGAATGCCTTAACTGTTGGTGCTTTTGAGCAGGGAGATGATGATGAAGCCCCGTCATCTGAGGCTCTAGAGTCCAGTGATTCAGCTGCAGATATTTCCTCACGTGCATCCCATCACCCTACCTTCCCTTACGAACGGTAATGACTGGACCATGTATCCCTTAGAGGGTCCCATTTAGAAGTCCTATCGGCTTGCATTTTGTTGTTGTTTCTTTTCACTGATGCTGTATTTTTTCTTTGCGTGCATCTGGTATTCTGGTTATTACCGATCCAGTGGTTCCGAACTGAAGCATGATTACGAGACAAGTGCGCCGATGAGTGGTGACTTAGATGCCAAAAATACGGTATAGGCTCTAAAGCAATGGACACTGATAACTTCCATTTCTTTAACACGGCATGTTCAGTGTAACTTTAGCATTGTTGTATAACCATGTTTAGCATTTCAACATACATTTTCAGGTCAAGGAATGACGAATAGCCTTTGACTATTGGCGCCCACCACCACCTAATCTGCTTCCAACCACAATTTCCAGTTGCTGCTTCAGTGCTGCTTTCCCTCACCACCGACACTTATTCGTCGAACGGGAAAAGGGGATTCTTCGTCCAAGTACGGGTTTATCTGCTGTATCTATTATGCATACGGTAATTTATTTCATGATCCATTGTCACTCCCCCTTATGTTTGCTTGACATTCCATTAAAGAAGAAGTAAGATAGGAATGGTGGAATGCATTCTCCATATCTGCTGCTGCTGCTGCATGTGTAAATAAATACACAATGTATATGAAGTAAACTAATCTGTCTCTCTCTATATATGGAAGTATATGTTATCATCAGATTAAAAAACGATGGCTTTCTGATGTGCCATGAAACTGAAACATTTCCCTCTTTCCTTCACCTTCCGTCTTGCTTTTGCCTTCCTTGTGAAGAGATTAAAGGCTTCCTATAGAGTTACAGGCGAGAGATGGGGAAGCTGAGAACTGACTTTACGTGAATCTGGTTAGGAAAGAAAGAAACAAGTGATCGAAGACGTTCCTACTTGTTAAAGTTGTTAATGATCATTCATGTGGAGTATTATAGTAGAGTTGTGGTTCCCCTTTACGTCTGGAAGGGTCTTAATCAACTCTGCCTAAAGAGTTGGCATTGGTCAATAGTTACATCTCAGCTAGCTTGCGTGTTTCTTGAACTGGTTATTATTTTGCTAAGTTGCTCCGAAGATGGATAATAATCGTATAATAAATATATGAAACGCCGGATAAGGACCACAATGAAACAGGGGAAATATTACAGGTAGAAAGAACATTAAGAGCAAGCTCGGCGGCGAATGTAGTTGTCGTAGCCATTTTTAAAAGCCTTCTTCTGGGGAAGCTTGCTTAGGTATTGCTATTTAATGAAGCCTCGTGGAGCAGTGTTGGGGGGTTCAATTATTGCATCCTTCAACGAACTCTTGCTAATCCATTTTGTTGGGCCGCGTAGTTGAGCGTACTTGGGCCTCATGCCCAAGAGGACCAGGTTAGCAAATAAGGCCTAATAAGAGCGCTTGGTCTGACCAGAAAGATTGGGTCAGCAGGCGGTCCTTGACCGACTCTAGGCCCGAGGAGTAGCTAGGGACGCCTGACATAAAGCGACTGACTACGACAAAAAAGTAAAGATCCGTTTAAATACGTACCTCGAGTTGGGTCTGACCTGACCAAAATCGCCTAAGTACCGCTTCCCAGTTGGATGGGCGAAGAAGTACTCACTATACCAAGGGGAATCCAGCTTGGGAGACCCATAAACAAACCCCACATTTTTCTCCCGCATCCGGTATGACCAGCAGTTTTTAGAGCTTCTCACGGCGTACATTAGTCGAAAGGCATCAATGGAAGGCTCCTCTTTCAAGCGGTCACAGGTCGCACGGTAACAGAGAGAATGAAAAACAATATAGGGAGAGAGGCGGCTCAAAGAGCAGTTAAGGTGCAGCAAAATCTCGGTTAGGAGCGGGTCCAGCGGGAACTCCAACCCCAACCGCACGTGCTCCGTAAAGATGGTGATCCACCCAATCAGACACGACCCGCAACGTCTAGCTGGAAAGGAGCAGCATATTCCCAGTCAGTCGGCAGCTGATGCCGGTGGAGCTGCCTGAGCACTTGCGCGGGGCAGTAAGCAGGGTCGTAACGCGGTCCGTACCCATACACGGCCTCGGGGACTTCCTCCCCTTCCCACATATCTTCGTGCAGACGCACACAGTACGAGCGGTCCGCAATCGCCTGAATGGATGGACGATGGGCGCTTCCGACAGCGCTAGAGAGGGTGAATCGACGACAGAATCTTCCCCGCGGGAGTCATTGGCCGCATCTCCCGGTGGGCTTTCTGAGGATAGTTCCACCAATGCGGCTCTTGCCACTGAACCACCCGCAGAAGCAGGCGTGCCGAAGTCCACAAGGTTGTCACCAACCCTGGAGGTCGCGCCGCGCTAGGCTATGGAGGTGGTCGTATCGATTAGAGCGCCCCCCCCCCTCTAACTCTAAAACACAACAGTCAGGCCTATCTAAACGCTCTCTCACTCCAACCACATTACTAAACCCACATAGCAATGCAATACCCTCCGAGTCCCATTCTATGTCAGATAAGCTTAAGGAACGGGAAAAGACCGGGCAACCTGCTGGTGCTGCTCCGGCGGAAGGATTGCTTGCCCTAGCGACTTTGATACCTGAGCGTGGGACACCAGCGCCGTCGCCAGAAGCTGGAGCGTAGGCGGAGGCGGTGGTCGCCGCCACGCCAGAAGCGGTAGCCGTCGCGGCGTCAATGGCGGTGGCCGTAGCAACGTCGGAAGCGGAAGGCGGCGGGACATCGCCGGAAAGGTCGCGATTCTAGCTATCGGAGGGGGTAGTAGATCGATAGCTAATCGCCATCAGCAACCTTCGCTTCTCCCTCTTAGAACGTTTCTGATCTCGCCTCAACGAAGTAAGATACTTGCGTCGCTCCGCCGAGAGGGAAGGGTGAGTTTCCCGATAACGGGAAATCGAAAATCTTGAGCACCGAGCAATTTTGAAAAGTGAACGAAGGAGGAAGAAAGTGTAAGATGTCAGCAAGGTAACAGTTCTGGGTTATATATAGTGAAGACAGAGGAACGATGCGACGGTTAGGTGCCGAGACAGAGCCCTAGTCTACAAAATTCAAAAAAACGAGCAACGAAAGGACGTCTAGCCTTTCCGTTGTCAGAGCTCGGAAATCAACCTTCGCCATGTGTACAACGCGGCTCCACTTAGGAGGCCCGCGAGGCGGCTGAAATACGGCTTAGGCGGGTCAACCCTAGGTCCCTAACGACCTGGGGCAGAGTGGGATATGGAAGAGGCGTGAACCGCTCAACTAGCTAGGAACGTTATCAGTAGCCGCCAAAAACCTAGGGTTTTCCCGCATAAGGGGCAATTGTTGGGCCGCGTAGTTGAGCGTACTTGGGCCTCAGGCCCAAGAGGACCAGGTTAGCAAATAAGGCCCAATAAGAGCGCCTGGCCTGACAAGAAAGACCGGGTCAGCAGGCGGTCCTTAACGGACTCTAGGCCCGAGGAGTAGCTAGGGGCGCCTGACATAAAGCGACTGGCTACGACAGAAAAGTAAAGATCCGTTGAGATACGTACCTCGAGTTGGGTAAGACTGAGCATTTATTGCCAGTCTCAGGCGGTCTGCAGAGAGAATAAGCCTGCTCGGGACGCCTAACATGTCATTTAATGTCTCAACCACCCTCAGACCAGGTATAAATATAGCGTGAGTGCATTAATGGTAAACTCAACTACTCTCTATCTCTCTATCATAAACGTATTTCCTCTCCCATTCTCTCTCTAACTTAAGCTTCGGAGGGTGTCCTGGGCAACCGCCTCAGACCCTTGTTTTGCAGAGTATCTGGAGTGCACCCTCTATCCAAGAACAGACGCCTTGCTCTCGCTCTACAAACCGCCTAGTATTTACTAGGCACAAACACATTTCAACCCAAATTCTGGATATGTTAAGGTGGCTAGGATAGGAGGCATGTTGTCTGGCCGGTAGAATGTCGGTCGGTTGAATTTGGTATCACTGGTGTCGGTCATGAAATAGGCTGAAATATGATCGGCATGATTGATATTTGGGTCCTCTAAACAAAATAACGTTTTTGTGAATTAATTAATGAAAAATTCATTTGGAATTGAAGTACAAACGTTTTTTGTGTTAGCGTTAAATGTTGTATTTAAATATGAGTATTTTTTATTTAATTTGGAATGTAGTATCTTATTTACATATGAATGTCGATTGCCTTCAAATATGTTTTACATAGCTCAAATTCATTCTATGTTAATGATTTTTCACATTTTTACATATTTTGCCAAATCGACATGAACCGATTGTAGCACGGTTGAATCATACCACTTTCTAAATCGACGAAACGATAGAAATCTGTTTCACAAAGGGAGAACTTTTCTTATTACAGCTTAATAAAGAGAGTAAGATGAAGAAAACAAATACACTTGATCACCTACAAAGAAAAAACCAGATGTGATAACTTGATATCCATAAATGGGACACATCCTATCCTATCTTGTCTTGAGTACCCTCGGTTTCCTTTTCTTCCCCGAAACAAAAACAAAGATGCAAATTATGCAATCCAATTATGGCCTTAAACTGTCCGTCTGTACCGTATCTCGACCCAATACCAGGCCCAAACCCCAGCCCGCCACTTCCATCGTCATAAGGCCTAGCTCCTGATCCAGATCCAGATCCAGTCCCAGACCCAGACCCAGACCCAAAGCTGAACCCTACCCTAGTCCAACTCCACTGCCCTAACCGTCGCAAACGTTGGGCCCACCGTAGCCGCCACCAGAGTGACCGGGGAATCCAGCAGCCGCACCACCTCCACCACCGCCGGTGTAGCCACCCATGAGAACCTGGTAACGGCCGTGGGCACAACCGCCGGCGTCACCATCACTGCCTTTCATAATCCGGTCGAGGAGTGGAGGAGCGAACGACGTGGCATGCCTCCTAGCCTCCACGTCCGCAAAGCTCCAGCAGCATAACGCCAATACTACTACCCCTCCTTAACCAACTCTGAATATCAAAATGCACAACAATTACATTCAATTCTGAAACTGATAAGGATCAAAACACACGCGCATATAAGACCATGTTTTCTTAATAAATCCTTAGGTTTTGGTCAGAAGACAGCAATTAATAATGCGGTCGAACACCTTCCATGCACAAAGTCAGCACCTTCAACTTAATTAATTAATTTCATAATCACCAACTTAATGTAAAACCTTCTCGAGGAATCATTATCTCCTTTCTCACATTTCTGAAGCATTCATTTCCTGGCACAAGAGTAACTGGTCTGAGATACAAGTGGTTAAGGTTTTTTCAACCGTTTTTAACAGCTTCTGAACAAAGAAATGGTGGGGACTAGGGATGGCAATTTACCCACCCATGGGTATTTTTGCCCAAACCCATTTATATCCATTTATATGGGTTGGGTATGGATTTATTCTATATGGAGTTGGATAATGTTTGGGTGGGTGGAGTTGGGTTTGGATTTTATTTTTGGGTATGGATTGGGCTTGGGTACCCATCTCCTTGGACCCACCTGTATATATTTTTTCTATTAGGTGTTAAAATGTAAAGCAAAGTTTTTAATGTACTAAAATATAATTTTCAACATATGATGTTGAACCTATTTGTATCTTCTTAAAAACTTCAGGTACTAAAATGTAACTTTGGCCAAGTCCAGCTGCTTCGCCGGTGCCGAATGCCGGTCTACACCCCGCCGTCGCTGATATCCTCGAGCCGGTCTACACCCTGCCGGTGCTCTGCTCGCTGTTCCCCCTCAACTGGGTCGGGAATCGCCACGGCTTCTCCGAGCCCCTTCTCGGCATTCAGGCGATGGGTGCGTGCCGCGAACTTGAGCGGCGCTGCCGGCGACGAGGAGAAGAGGGCTCTGTTTTTGGGCGGGGAGAACAACACAACAGAGGATAAAGCAGAGAACTGGACTATCTAAAAAAATCCATCTCCGATTAATTGTTACAGAGAAACGGAGGAAACGATAGCAAAAGAAGCTGATATTCCTTACCCACCGATCGAAACCTTTCATATATCAACCTTGATATTCCTTACCCACCGATCGATCTCTGTTAATAATTAATCGACATGTCTCTCAACTGCAGCTCACCAATGGATTGGACCCTCGATCCCAATTTGCAGTACGACTTCCCAAAGATGCCTCCATGGAAATCATCATGTCACCTAATTCCCAGATGCAACAAATCAACATGTTCATAAATCTTACACAAGCTAGATTTTTAAGACAAGGCTCAAGGAAAAGCAATGTAGAGGTTTCTTTCAAAACTACTCCTGTCAATCAATGGTATGTCAACTAAGATTAAAACATGATCGAGTTCCAGAATGCTTCTCAATGGAAGCAAATCGACACATCCAGAAAGGGCACCATGGAAAGCAAGTCTATGACGTCTAGGCAGAGAATTAGAACCTGCTACTGTGACCATAACAGATCAAATCATACCAATGGATGCCTCATACGATCATAATACCAATGATGAATATTCAGAAACCAAATGCCCAGCACTTTTCGCATCTAGCAACCTAAAATGGCTGCTCCCATTACCAAGATCAATGTAGTTGTGGACAGGTTACAAACAAAATCCAATCACAACCCTATAGTCAAAACACCATAAAGTCCAACTAGAAAGTCAAACAAAAACAAATCCAGAATTCCACCATTTCAGCTGCATTCGGATCCTCAAACTTGATCTAGAGGTCAAGACAATGCAACAAGACAACCAATCTGGCAAGAAGAAGAGGAAGAAGAAAAACAGAGTGCCAAAATTTCCGTATCTGAATTCTGGCAATTGGTAAAGTTACTTCAACTTCCTATCACCGAATCTCAAGCAAGCAAGAAAGGAAAACACAGAAGCAGAAAAATCGAGCATCCAAAATCTAAATCCCAAATCGACGAATTCGTTCATAGTTCACACTCGCAGAGAGAACTGGGAAGGGTTTGGGGGACGATGGAATTCGTTCACAGTTCAATTAGCAAAACCCAATTAGTCAATTACCTGGATTAACTACTCTCTTTCAGAAACTCGAAACTTGGTAGCACTGGGCGGCGGCGACGTCGGAGCTAGTGGCAGTGGCCGGGGTGGCGACGAAATCGGAGTGGGTTTCTGTATCTTTGGTGGCGCCGATGCGATTCAGTGGTCGGACTCGGAGGGGATGCCGAGATCGGAGGTGGTCGGGGCGGCGACGTTCGAACTAGTGGCAGTGGCCGGGGCGGCGACGTCGTGGCCGTCTCTGTTTGCTCAGCCGGCTCGTCGTCGACGAAGGATGGGTAGAGAGGAAGAGAGAATGTCGAGTCTCTCGACTGAGTCAGAAACGAAGATATTGTTTTATTTTTCTTTTTAGTTTCAATTTTTTTTTTTAATTATTTGGGTTTGGATTTTTTAACCCAAGTTCTTGGATAAAACCCAAGTAAACCCAACATAATGGGTATGGGTATTGACCCATCTGGCTTTATCCATTTACACTTTAATTGGATTTCAGACCCAACCCAAATGGGTTGGATAGTTATAAACCCATGGGTATGGGTATAATTGCCAAGCCTAGTGGGGACTTGTTCACTTAGAAGCAGTACTTCACAAAGACTTGACCTTTCCTTCCTAATCTTGGCAAGACCTTTCCTTCCCAAACTAGAAGAAGCTTCACAAGCTACACAGGCCAAAGAAATGGAGAAACCTCTCCTGAACATATAATTTTTCAGAGGGTTTCTGTTTGGTTAATCCCTACTTGATTTCTGGTCGAATAATAGCACTTTAGCAAGCAGGATTCACCAAATCAGAACTTCTTCAATCCTTTGATGCATCTATCAATTCTATATACCCTTCATACAACAAGTTGGTAAAAAAATTGCGAAATCTACAGCCTAAATTGAAACGAGAGAAAATTCATCCTTGTTCCTCAATTATGAAAAGTTCCATACCGTGAGAGAGTGAGAGATAGCCAGACAGAAAAGAAAGGACGGCGAGCAGAGAGCGGCGAGCAGAAGCGAGAGTGTCTCGTACTGATCTCAAGGCGGCCGGCGACAAGGGTTTAAGAGCAGCGTCCGTCGTCGCCGTCGTGGCCCGTGGGAATCGCTGCTCGTCGCCGTCGTCAGCAGAAGGAGCGGCCGGCGAATACGAGAAGAAGAAGAGAGGTGGGCAGGTGGCTCTCTGCTCTGCGATTTTCGATTGAAGAAGAAAACAGAAGGGTGGCGGGCTGGCGGCTAGGTTTTGTTGTTTAGGGTATAGATTTGGTCCCATACTTAAACGACGTCGTTTTGGGTTCGGTAAACGGTTTACCGATTTACCGTCGGTATTTACCGATACCGGATTCGGTAAACCGATACACCCCAGCCCATGTTCGGTCGCCGATACCGTCGGTAAACGGTTCGGTAAAACGGTAAACCGTTTACCGACAAACCGAATCCCACCCCTAGCCACCACCACACCCTCCCAGCTCTTTCCATCACTGTGACTGTGATACGAAAAAGAAAAAGGGAAACTTGAAAAATTGTGTTGGTTAATGGTTATGCGATCTTTACGCCAGGGATAAACAAGAGGAGAAATGTTACGAGATTGGACCATCTTAGCATTTCGTATTTTACTGGGCTTGCATATTTTTAATATTTTATTATTGCTTTTATTATTGTTTTTCTTGTTAATAGGATTTGGTTATTTGTTGGTAAAATCCTTAGAGGATTAGGAGTCATAATGTATGTAGGTAAAGGTAGATGCTTTGTGCCTATAAATATGTACTTGTTTCGTTCGTTTAATGAGAAGAAGATTGGAACCCAATAGTTAGCTTTTGTTCTTTATTTGCTATTTCCTTAGTTATTTCATTTGAAAGTTCTTTGCGTTTTATTCTTTTTTACGAGAAAACCCTAAAATCGACATAAGAGAGAGCTATAACTAAAGCAACGCAAGCGAGTGATCATTCAAACCTGTGAATATTATTAATCATTTATACCTTGGTTATAGTCCGTTTATCTCTATTTATAAATTCATACTCTTCTCCTATCCGTAAATACATACTATTCTCCTATCTGTTTCATAGATGATCAATATGAAAATTCATTTTGTTGACCGGATCGAGGATGACGGGTATTCACAATTGCGAATAAAAATGCTATTTCTGATGACGTGACAACCTAATGCTATATTTGTGACCCTAAGTATGTATAAGATGTACTTCTCTATTCAAGGACAACAACTAACGAATAATAATGCGATGCTGTTTACAGAATGTGTATGACAGACATGATAGCACAACAACAAAATCCCCCTCAATTTTCAAACCCCGATTTGAAGCATCGTAAGACTCCTGTATATATATTCGGGTTGGATCTTGTTCTTAAGTGTCTGTTTGAATCAAAGATAGTGTATACCATTTACTTATTTCTCTAGCATCTAGGGTTTCACTTTTACAAGGAAGATCCAAAGGGGCACGTCTCATGGGTCCTGCTGCAGGCGGACGTTGATTGCGGACCGAATGGGATGATTAGTGATGGCAATTTCAACCCGCCCCGACCCGCGATGGGGCGGGTATTACCCGACCCGCAGTAGCGTGGGGCGGGGCATGGGTATCTACTTCTGACCCATCCTGCTCTGCCCGCCCCGTTCTAGACTCATTTTATCTCAATTTCTTACAATTTCTATACATATTTCTCCTATTTTGACTTTTCTTCAACTAGTTAGAGTCGCTCTTTCAACTTGTTAGACTCAATTACCCATTCTATTATCACTATTTATCATTCTTAAATTGTTTTACCCTTCGTTTTATCGTAAAAAGTAAAATTTACTTGTATTTTTTTCGAATAACATGTAAGAGTGGGTTGACCCGTCCCGTCCCGTACTCGCGCGGGCTTTACCCGCCCGCGAGCAGGGCATGGGAATTGAGGTAACCGCCCCGCCCCGCCCCATTGCCATCACTAGGGATGAGCCTCGTCTTCAGTGGATATTGGCTTCTTTGCATCGTCGACTTTAGCTGGAGGTGAAACAACGATGGGCCAATCTTGGCCCAACATTTATTTATATATTGTATTTGTCAAAATCAGTCGTTTACGGTTTAAGCCTGAACTTTGTAATCACGATAGGAGTTGTTTGCTTCGTGAATTTAGATAATTAATTTGATATCCATATCCAATTCATCATGGGTTCCAGAGAAATTTATTGTTTGTTTGTGTTTTTTTAGGGATCAAATTTGTGAGGGCCATGAATTCTAATGATCCAAATCTTTGGACACATGATTTTAATATTCCAAGATTTTACTCACCTTTAGCTATTGTACATTATAATTAATCAGTTAATTAAAAAAACAAGAATATAAACATTAAATTAATGTGAAAACTATGTCATTTTCTTGTGCTGTAGTTTCCTTTTACTTTTTCATGGAAGGTGAAATATTTTGTTATCCGAATTCTAATATATCTTGTTATACAACACATGCAACTCAATCCTAATTCCAATCCCAAAATAAATTCGGTATCCCAATTCCAATCCCTAAAATTTTGTTCGATATCGATATATACTAACTACCAAATTAATTTTCTTCAAAATTAAAAATCAAATATACAAATGCAAATACTAGCTCCGCAAACCATTATCAAAACATATAAAATAAATAATGGTGTGGTACAACTGCTTGTGCAAAACAAATGGGAAAAAATCTATAATTAAGTGATCATCTGGGCTATTGAGAGTATGGGAGTAATGAGCGAGGTAGTTTAGTTGAGGGGGATAAAAGTTAATAATTGACCTTATCATTACTTGAAAGAGCATGTTAACAAAACCTTGACTACCTGCCAACAAGGGCTTTGTTGGGCATGTGACTCGGATCTGACCGCGCCAAAGAAACATCTCAACGGCGCTCACGTAAGAGTCAGGCGCGCCAGCTCTGACACGATCAAGAACCGCGCCCGAAAGCTGCGTCCGAACACCGAACGACGACGCTTTGGTCAGATGTTGACCTTGACCAGGAAACCATGAAAGCGATGCCGCGTCCCTCAAAGAGTAGTCACCATCATAGTCCTAGGTATAGTCATGGGTTAAAGGTCTTTTCCTAAGTAGGGATGTGGCCTATGCTTCTGACATGTCAGCAGTCATGTCACCATGCCACCATGTAACTCACCCACCACCATGTAGCCTATAAATATGGCATTTACTCCGGTGGGTAAGGGGGTCGGATTTTTCAGACTCTATCTCTACGAATTGCCAACTTCTCTCTCTAAGATATCACCCTCTCAATTCCCTTCTCCCTCTCCTTTGTTCTTCCATTCATAGCTGTTCCTCATTGCTTACTCTCCTTAACCCGTTTTTCCGAGCCTCACTCCTACACTCAGTTAGGCTCAAACAGGCTTCAAGGTGGAGATCCGGCTCCAAGTTATACTTGTTTAAATATGGGGTAAATTACATGGTTGGGCACTATAATTACTAAAAACATTCACGTTTGGTAAAAAAATACATATTCCGCTTTTCTGCAAACGCATGTGTTGAATAGAACTCTTATTATTTTACACGATGTCCTGTCCTTTACACTGCTAGACACCAAAGGTTCGCATGAGACACCGTTGGGATGTTTAGCTTCCAGATTTTGGCAGCATTAAGTAAAAACAAAGCAGCTTCTGGGACCAATAACAGTGTTTCCGCATAGCATCAAAGAAACTCAATGCTGGAGCAAATATGACAACTGCCACAGGAGTCACCTTTTCAAAGAAGCACACAAATGTAAAGTTAAGTGCTAAGTTGGTTCCATAGCTTTAAAACTCCAACTTTATCATATTTCGCGAGTTAAATAAAAGTTAATGAAAGGTGTGTTGTCATGACTAGTAATAACACTAGGAGTTGTGGCTGTAGCACTATCCAAATTTTGTGGGACAGAGGAACAAGAGGAGATTCGACAGAATTCTCACCACGGTTGCAAACATACAGCCTAGACTTTACATATACAGAGAATAATCACAGTCTTGAAAATCAACAAGGAGTTTGAGCCCATTATAGTACCTGAATGGAAGGTAGAAAAAAACCAGAATCATTTAACAATGAGGAAAAGATGTAGCAAAATAAATAGAAAGGGAAGGGAATATTGGTCCACTGATGCTCAGTTCGTTTTTGCTTGCACACAAGTTAAAGGTAAATCTCAACAACTCTTTCAAGGTAAAACGGAAGTAAGTATGAAACGTTTGCAACGACTTGGACACCAAACGTTATATTTTATCTTTGGTTAGTCATATTCAACCGTATTATTCGAATTACCTTCATATACCGAAATGATAAAAAAAATATGAATTCATGTACTGTTGTGACCAAAAGTAACGTTCATGTACAGAGTGGACCAAATCATGAAAGTTCAAGGGTCAAATTGACCTTTTTGAATTGTTATAATAATTTCATTATGACTAAATTTTACTAGACCCACTTTCTACATATTATTTTCTAAAAAATTTCGCATAACTCATCACCAAAACCTTATTGTCAATATTATTTTCAAATTTTCTTCTCCTTCAATTTTCTCATAATTCGTCATGCCACACTATTCCTCGCCTTATTTGTCAACTTTTTTCGTCTCAACATTGATACTAAACAGGATCTAATGAGGAAACTGAACACATAAAATTATCAACTTCAATGATTCTCAAAATTGCCAACTAAAGCATGTTTTTGTTTTTCATGGTATTGTGTTTGTACCTTTATTGTCACAACAATACCGGAACACATTACACATACGACAATAAAAGTGTAGGCAACATAGAAGGTTTTATCAAGTTGGGTTCCTCAAACTATAATCATTAGATCAACTAGTGACCTCTAAAGAATTTTAGCTCGCAAGTTAATTAACCTCAAGGAACCACATAGTCAAATTAGTTCGAAAACTTTAAACAAATATCACGAGTTGAGCTCAACACGTCACTGAGCAGAACTAGGTCAGAGTTTGCCTCGTTAATCCCAAGTTAACTCGTTGAGTTACGATTTAAATGACAACTTAATTTTTATCCTTTTGCCTGTGAAGTAACACTTGCTACTTTTTTTTTTTTTTTCCTTTTGCCTGTTTCGTGTTATTTCTAGACTCCGCTCCTCCAGAATCGACACCCGGAAAGTGTCAGAAGCTCTCTCTAAACTGTACATAAATTAATCATTAAAACAAAATTGACACTGACTGAGATTTCTGGAACCAACTTAATTTGTTACTAGAAAGCTCCTCCATCCAATCGACTAACTATGTGCGTCCTATTATTTAACAGCGAAGCATCGGCGTTGGCTTTCTTCAGTACTAATCCTAGTGACAGGCAGCGCTCCCGAAATTTGCACCAGCAAAGGATACAGAGAATCCCGGCTCCGGCGACGAGGATGGCGGAGGAGAAGCTTTACCCGAAAGTGAGTTGGGAGTACGAGAATGCGGTGGCGAAATGCAAGCGGAAGCTCAGAGGCCTCGTCGCCGAGAAGCACTGTGCTCCAATCGTCCTCCGATTAGCGTACTGATACATAATACATAATATTTCTCATTCGGTAATCAAGCATGATTTGCTTACATTTATTTTTATAATTAAATTAAATGTGTACGGGCAGATGGCACTCTGCTGGAACGTTCGATGTTGAGACGAAGACGGGCGGGCCGTTTGGGACAATCAGGCATGGGGAGGAGCTAGCCCACGAAGCCAATAGTGGGCTGGACATAGCAGTTTGGCTTTTAGAGCCCATCAAGGCCCAGTTCCCCATCTTGACCTACGCTGACTTCTACCAGGTTCGTTCGGGGTCCTTGACCACTTGATTTGTGCTGTTAATAATAAATAAACGGTATTAAATTAAACTCTCATTTTTTATTTTGTGGTAAAATTCAGTTGGCCGGAGTTGTGGCCGTCGAGATCACCGGAGGGCCAGAGGGCAGAGATTCCGTTCCATCCCGGAAGACCAGTTTGTGACTTGCCCCTAACTGAATTTGCGTTTTGAAGGAAAAAATCTAGTTTGAGATTTTACACGTTGTTATGATATGTTATGTTGCTATCAGGATAAATCTGAACCCCCACCAGAGGGACGCTTGCCTCAGGCTACTCAAGGTAATTAATTGTCTTTCATTTACAGTAAAATTATGTTTTCTTACTCATATCGCCTGTGTGGTAAAAAAAATTATTATCCTCTCACAGGCCCGGCTCATTTGAGGGATGTGTTTTACTGGATGGGCCTTTGCGACAAAGACATGGTCGCTTTGTCAGGCGGCCACACTTTGGTATTATTATTATTATTATTATTATTATTATTAATAAGGCGGAGTATGAATGTGATTATATGTATTATGTACAGGGGAGGTGCCATAAGGAAAGGTCTGGGTTTGAAGGGCTTGGACCAGCAATCCTTTGATCTTTGATAATTCATATTTCAGGCAAGATCTTCTCTCAACTGAAGCTCATAATGCCATGCACAATCAAAAGCAATTGGCTTATGCAATTTCATCAATTCATTCGAACTAATTGTAGGGAACTTTTGAGTGGGGAGAAACAAGGCTTGATTCAGCTTCCAACCGACAAAGCTCTTTTGGAGGATCCAACATTCCGTTCTTTTGTTCATAAATATGCGGCCGTGAGTCGCCCGCTACTGCTCAATATTTATTTTCATGATGATGTCGCTTCGTTTACACATGGTTTCATACTTAGTAGTAAAAACGCTAATCCCTTTGAAATTTCTTTTATTCATTTCAGGACGAAGATGTTTTCTTTGAAGATTATGCGAATGCTCATTTGAAACTCTCGGAGCTCGGGTGCGCTTCAGATACCTTGCTCGAAATTTCGCCGTATTTTTCTTTTACAAGTTGTTTTGCACTGTCCATCATTCATTTCTTTGTTTTCAGGTGGCCTTGATAGTGTCAAAGTGCGAGAGATGAAACACAAGCCTATGCTCAGTGAAACGAATTACTTACTATCTATGATTTGCAGTTGTAAACTTTGTATTATCCTACCACTTCTATGTTGGGTTGAATAAAGGCACGCAAACAAGGACCCAAAGACTTAAAAACTCATAAACTAGTTCAACCTGCAATATTATAGGGTAGGATTCATGCTATTTGCTATAAACCAACACAGTGCTACAACGTCACGCTTGTAATTAAGCATATCCAACAAAACCACAAACAACCAGACTTAAAATTACATTTTTGCAGGAGTAGTAACAAACAGCCATCAAAACCTCCCCAACAAAAAATGTGCCTTCAATCCAAAGTTTCTTCAAAGGTCTTGCACGCTCAAACCTGCAACAAACATATACAAAAACAAAGACCATGATTCAGAACAAGTTTAAAATATATATCCATCGGGCATTCAATTCTCAGATAGGAGGAACAATATAGCTCTACTTAGCATACGGGTTTTCAGGGGAACACATGCATCAGTAAACATACGAATAAAACAACCAGATATATCGAATCCACAGCACAGGGGTGAAAAGCATCATTACCAGGGGGGAGAGACTGCTTCAACTTGTCAGCCTTCTCGTTGTCGAAAACACCTTGAACTTCACCACGTCCTTGCTCCTCTTGATCTTCACAGAACGGGCATCCTTCCTCCTAGCTGTGAGGAGAAAGTCTTTGATCTCATGAATCTGCTTCGGCTGTTCAACACAAGCAAATCGGTAAATATCAAACCAAGTGTTTACACCTAAAGTATTTTTGGCCTAAATTCAATGCCGTAATAATCAGTCTCGGCATTTAATTCGATATCGCATGGCCAAAAAGATGTCGTTTGGTGTCGAGCAATGTCGCGGAAAATTTAAGCGAGACCGCGAAGAGGCTCGGCGGTACCGCGGTACTTGAAACGACATTGGTTGCAGACCATGTGTGAGTCATGCGCAGGACATGTGTTGCTGTTGGACAAGGAATGTTTTTTATTTTATTTTTCCTTGTCGGAGGAGGAGAGTAACAGCACCGTTTGGAGTCAAGCAATGCTGCGAAGAGATAAAACGGTGCCGCGAACCTCAAAGCTCAACAGCACCGCGACAAGCGGCATCGCGAGACTGGGAAACGGTGTGGTTTGGCTAAAAACGGCACCGCGACAAGCGGCATCGCGGATGAGTTAAAACAATACCGCGAAATTAAAAACGATGTCGCGGGAGGCCTTGATAAGCGGTGCCGATTAAATAAATAAAAAATCATATAGGGTAAGTGAAGGGCCTAAATTCCGCCCAGCCCAATGCGAGTGAAAACTCTCGGCGGTTCAATGAATTGGAATTTTTTGGCTATGTTAGCGGGGTCGTTTAGTTAAAAACGGTACCGCGAGTAAGCCCAACGGTATCGCTGTATTAGCAAACGACAGTGTTTAATATAAAACAATGTCGTGGAGTAAAAAAGCAAAAAGAGCTGTTTGGGGAAGAAAACGACATCGCGTGAGATTCACACCAACCTGAGTGAAGAGGAGATCAAGACGGTTGAGACACGTGGGAGTTCACAACGGAGCAGTTGAGGAAGCGGTTCCACCTAGCGTGAAGACTACGCAAGTGATTTCAAATAAAAGCAGCGGAGCAATGAGAGAGAAGGGACAACCAAATCAACACAGAAACACATCTGTCAAACTTTACCTTTTTTCTCTGTAACTCCTTCGCGGAGCTCTCCTTCCAGGAAGGATCTCCATAGTTGTAGTCTTAGTCGTAGTCGCGGAGCTCTCCACAGGAATCTCCATAGGAGTAGCGGTAGCGTAGATTCCTCAAAACTCAAACACCCTCGTTCGAACGTAGTTTGGAGAGGTGCGAACCGTAGTAACGGTCGTTCTTGGTTAGAAGTCAGAGGTGCATCGATCAAATCAACACCGCCCGGCGGTGGATATTTGACGGTCACGTTGATTTCACCATTTAGAGGTGCATCGATCAAATCAACAGCGCCGACATTCGGCGGCGGATATTTGACGGCCGTCTCGATTTCAGCATTCATCGGTGCATTCGATCAAACGGCACCGCAAGAGTTTCCACCGCGAAACATCAAATCAACATCACCGGAAACAAATTCGACACCGGCGGTGGCATTTGGTTTTCTCGGGAAACACCAAGAAAATAAATGGTGAAATATTACTAAGAATTGTCCACTACTATTACTGCACCAAACAAACACAACGTATGAATAACAAACAAAGGAACAAGCTCAAAACACAGCTAACAGTCAATCAAGTTCAACAGCTGAACTTAGATCAATCATATAGCACCCAGACGTAACAGAAGCTATCAAATCCAAGGAAGGTTATGCCATGGGGATAGATCTGTAACGATGGGCGCCAACTTCCATCTTCACCATCACCACCTCACTCTCCCACCATTCATCTTGCAGCCTTTTCAGTTTTCAGCATCTTGCAGCCATTTCTATCAATCCTAATGGAGTGCACTTAACACCAAGTTAAGTGATAGCCAATGCATAAAATAGTGAGTTTTGTGATACCCGACGCAACTGCATTTCAATTTGAGTAATATTACTATCCCAATTCTCAAATTTTAGTGATACACAAAATATTTTATTGTTTGGAACATATCCATAACTTAAAAATAATTACTAGATATATAGGTGATGGCCGAGCTCCGTAATGGTCGGAGGTTGATTTTATTGTTTTTGTTAGTTAGTCCATTGTGTATATTGCTTTATTTCATTGGTCGTTATCTTGTTTCCTTTTAGATATTTATACACGTCTTATTATTTAACTACTTATGGTATATTGATATTTATATATAAAGTAAACAAACTTCGACCTTATTTTGTTACCTTTTGAAAATAGCGAAGGTCTCACGGATAGTTCTAGTCCCGCTACCTTTTATTGGGCTCGATTTGCTATTATTTATTTGGGCTACATATGTTTAATTTGCCACCAACATAGAGTATATTGATATTTGTATATAAAGTAAACAAACTTCGACCTTATTTTGTTACCTTTTGAAAATAGCGAAGGTCTCACGGATAGTTCTAGTCCCGCTACCTTTTATTGGGCTCGATTTGCTATTATTTATTTGGGCTACATATGTTTAATTTGCCACCAACATAGAGTATATTGATATTTGTATATAAAGTAAACAAACTTCGACCTTATTTTGTTACCTTTTGAAAATAGCGAAGGTCTCACGGATAGTTCTAGTCCCGCTACCTTTTATTGGGCTCGATTTGCTATTATTTATTTGGGCTACATATGTTTAATTTGCCACCAACATAGAGTACACTTGTTGTGTAAAAAGACAGTGTGATTACAAACTTCTCATCAAAACGATAAGGCAAAAGACCCTACTACTATAAACGATCACTCGCTTTCATCTAAGGAAATACTAGAAGATAAAGTCTGGTTCTTGAAGTCTTAATAAGTCTAATACACATACCCAGAAGCTACTCTGACATCATATTCTTTGGCAGGGTGGTAAAACTCCTTCAACCCCCAGGCTATCAACCGTAATTTGCGCAGCTCATGGTCAATCATCACATTTTGCGGTTTAACATCTCTATGCATTATGCCCTGCGCTTGTGAATGGCAGTAGTCTAGCGCCTGAACAACACACATGAACTCTCCAAGTAAAAAAAGAAGTCAAATATGAAAATGAGATAGGTAAATCATCATCTTTGCTGCAGATAGATAAAAAAGCGAGATCGTTGCATATAAACAACCTTAAGAAGCTCATACATGTAGGGGTCGTTTGGAAGTTGTGATAGTTTTGTTGAGATTGTCATTATGCATGTACAGTTTACAATGCATCGTTTTTTTGTTTTTTGTTTTTTTTTACCAGAAACAATACATGGATTGTTTCTGTGATGTGATAGAAACTATCACTCATTTTGAGTGATTGTTATATCTCAACTTTTAGTTGTGATTGTTGAGATAGTTGAGTTGAGATTGTTTTGTCTAAGTTTTTAGCTGATGCGACATACACAATCACACATACCAAACGTTGTATTCTACAATGCATCAAATTCGACAATATGATGAGGTTATTTTACGTTTGGGATTTTGGGTATTTTCGGATTGGGTTAGGGGTGTTTTTTCCTTACGGTTTAAGTTTTCCTTTTGTGTTTGGGAAGGGGTATTCGGGTAGGATTAGGTCAAGTCTTAGGCTTTTCTAAGCCTATAAATATGTACCTTTGGCATTAGTTCTGTATCAATCAAATAAATCAAAGGTTAATAGACACCAACGTCTTTCTCTCGCTTGTGAGTTACAAGCAAAACCCTTGAATCGTGGGTTATGGTTCATCAATTGATATCAGAGCCTGGTTACGCATCCTACTGGAAAGGGTAACATGGTTCTGGACCTAGCCCCATACCGCGCCCTTGCACGCAATGCGAAGATAACACTCGAGCAGACCAAGGTCGCCTGTGCGCAGCTAGCAAAGTCGCGTGAAAGGTTCACGGCATTCTGCCGCGAACAGGAGCTGAACGCCAACCGCGCAATCATCTTCGGAGGAAAGCGAAGCGACGACGACGTGGCCCGCGTCGACGTCAATGAACCTAGGGCGGCGGAGGATATCAAGATCTCCGTCAACGAGAATGTGGGAAGGGAAACAGTACGCATCGGTGAACCTCACCGTTGCGAGGCTATCATCCTTCGATCGGGAAGCTGCGAGAAGGAAGAGCTGAAAGCAAGAGCTCTCTCCAAGGAAGGAGACGAATGGTACGGGAAGAGGAGATTGATGGAGGAGAAGAGCTTAATGATGACCAAGGTGCGCGGAGCGGATAGTGAAAGCAAGAGCTTTTCGGGTTTGCTCCAACGACCACTATCAATGCCAAAGGGTAGACATTTGGATTTCGGTCAGGGGAATGAGGAGTTGCGGCAGCAACGAGTTGTGCTTTTTCAAGAGAATTTCGTGGGTAGTTTTCCTGGGGACAAAGATGATAATGATGGGGGAAGTCTTCCCATGTTGTTTCCATGGACCAAGTCCCGTAGGAGAGGAAGTGTATTTGTCTGGCCCACCGATGGTCAAGCTGTGAAGGCGAGAGTCCCTTCCAACGTGAGGAAGAAACTTGGAGGTCGAACTGGGAGCTGGAAGTTTCGGAAACGACGGGAGCCTCAACGTCACCGCAAGAGCTATTGTTGCTTTCGCCGTCGACCTCCGCGTCTCAGCATTGACCGAACCTTGGAGACCAAGGTTCTTTGAGGGGGAAGGATTGAAGAGGTTATTTTACGTTTGGGATTTTGGGTATTTTCGGATTGGGTTAGGGGGGTTTTTTCCTTACGGTTTAAGTTTTCCTTTTGTGTTTGGGAAGGGGTATTCGGGTAGGATTAGGTCAAGTCTTAGGCTTTTCTAAGCCTATAAATATGTACCTTTGGCATTAGTTCTGTATCAATCAAATAAATCAAAAGTTAATAGACACCAACGTCTTTCTCTCGCTTGTGAGTTACAAGCAAAACCCTTGAATCGTTGGTTACGGTTCATCACAATACATGTATAATATTATACATGCATTCTCAACAATACATCTATTTAACAATCGCAACTTTCAAACGACCCCGTAGTATCGAATTTCATAGTCCGTGAATGTTGGGTACAGAACTTTAATATATGTACTGTACACATACTAAAAAATCAGGCTCGGAGTTTTTGGGTGTGATCCCTAACTATATCGAGCAGCTTCACTATGTTCTGCCTTCCACAAAGGTTCTGCAGCATCCTAATCTAATATGCCCCTGGGGGTGTATATTATCAAAGTCACGCAGCTAACGACTCAAACGAAGAATCGATTGAGCTTGAATCAAGAACAAAGCGTTCTTAATACGAACTTGGATAAAAGGGAACCAAAAGGACGATTCCACACCTGGGGAACGCTCGATTGGTATAAAATGGTAGTTGCTCGACCACGATTGAAGTGACTATTCAATCGATACACAAGCTCAGCAAGTTTGGAATCCACCAAACCCAAAACAAGTTCGCAAACTTGAACAAACCAAGTGGTTTCTTTTTATTCAATCAACTCTTCTTATCTTTACAACGTAAATAGAACGGTATTTAGAGACAAATAAAAACTAATACAATTATAATAGAGCTACGCAACAATTAAGGTAAAAGTCTACACCAAAAAGGACACAAAATTCGGGTTTAAACTCCCTTTCTTGAAGCACAAGTAAGCTGCCCGCAAAACAGTCAAAAGACAGCTTTCATACTAACTTCGCGCCTTTCGTTCGAGGCCTTCTCGAACTCCAATTCTTCATCCAATTCCTTCCCTTTGTTCACAAACATACCTAGTTTTATGTTGCGTAATCCTTTTGACTTGAATCCCATCCATACTCCTTGAATTGAGCTCCAAAGTAGGCTTCACAAAACAGTTTTCTGCCTTGGCCATTTTCTGGCAGTTTTCCAGTTTTGAGGTAGCAACTTTGAGGCCTTAGAAAACAACCTTAATGACATTTTCTTTATCCAAAAAGTACACCATTGGAAACATGAAAACTTTATATTTAAAACAAGCTCTTGATCTCCAATTTCCATTGAGCCATTTGTGAGATACAAGCTTCCAAAGTAGGCTACCTGAAACTGTTTCAACACTTAGCCAAAAAATCAAAATTATTCTGAGTTGAGATGACTTCTTTGGCAAGTAATTGTGAATTGTGAATTGATCCAATTGGGATCATATCATAATCTCTCTTAATCTACATGACCAGCATTAAGTAACTATAAACCGCCTCAAACATGACTCGCTAAGTATAGACCATTAATGAAAAGTTACGTTCTTTTTCTTGACAGGCTTCAGGATTTTAATAATGGGCTTCTGATTGTTCGTGATATTGATACCTTCAAAGACCGCGCTGTATTTCCCCCTCCCAAACTTCCTGACAACCTCACAGTCATTCTGATCACTGTTCATTGAGGTCCAATAAGAAAAACAACCAAACGTAAAGAAAAGGAAATTTGAGGCTGTAACCCTAGTTTTTGCTACCATAACATGAAACCAATTGCGGGATTAGAAGAAGCAACGATGAAGCTAAATTGAGAATAGGGTTTTCAAAAGGTATTTGGTTAAATTCACTAACCCCCACTGAACGGCTCAGAACTCCCGAGGACGATGAACGTTGATGTCAGCGTAAACTGGAGCTCTTTACATGTTTGCCGGCGGTTGAAGCTAATCTACCTTTCTCTCCCTGGGTTGCTCTTAGAAAGAATAATCGTTGCCGGAGACAGAATGAAAGAACGGGCTAAATTTTTTTGGCGGAAACCCAAAAAGTAATACAGAACATAAAATGGGTTAGTTCGATAAGTGGTCCCCTGAATTTTAGGATATTGACGATTTGGTTCATAAACTTCGAATAGTGAAACGAATGATGGAAGGAGTTTAAATACCGTAGTTACGCAATGGAGTCAACAACAATGAACATTAAGTTAAGGGCTGTATCTAAAGTAAGATCCGGTTTTTAGGCAAAGCAGAGAACATGTATATACTATATATTCAACTCTTGGTCCTCAGTCATCAGCACAACATCTGTACAGTAATAAGCAGTCTGTTCAAGCAACTACTACTTTCTCTCCCTGGGTTGAAGCTAATGGTACTCTTACCGGGAATTTACAATCTAACGAGCTCAGTAGAGCAGTGTGTTCAAAGACCAACGGAAAACAACAACTACTCTATAAGTACAATCAACAAACTGTGTTCTGCAACCAAATTATCCCCAACTGAATTCATGGTGGCTGGTTTGGATCTGCAGCAGGTCCTATCATTCTGGAGGTGGATTGGACTGGATTTTCTCGTACATATCCTATAGATCAGAGTCGACTTTGACAGCGCTGGGCCTCTCGTTCCATCCTCCAATCACATCCACGTCCACGTCCTTGATGGTTAAACTCCCTACCTCCCTAAGCTGTGCTCCGGCAACCTGGCTCCTCCCAAATTTCTTACCACCAACTGAACCAGATCAAGAAGGGCAAAAATAAGAACACAAACAAGTCCAGCATAAAAAAATGGGTAGTCACATGGATTAAACGTTATGGCATGCAAGGAGAACCTTTTTCCTCAAACATACAGGATCCTGAACCAAAGCGCTTCGTTGTTCCATCTTGAACGCCATTCCTTCCACAGAATGACTGGGGCTTGCAGCTCCCATCTTTATTTGCTGATTGTGGAGAAAAGGCAGTTTCATGACCACCTTCTCTATTCTGACGGGCTTGCAAGATTAGCTTCCATTTCGACATCAAGTCGTCTCCCCCAACAGCAGCCCTGGCTGCCATCATGTTTGCTGCCGTTGTTCTCATCTTGACATCCTCCTCTTTGCTCAACTGTGCAGTTTGGGTAAATATTGGAATACTGTGTTTCTGTTGTATATTTCAGATTCAGAGTTTACTGAATGACTTTGAAAGATTGTTGAAAAGGTCCTGAGTTACCTTGGGTGCTTTTCCTCTCCCACCTTCCTTTTCCTTGTCGCCTTCAGCTCCATCACCAGTGTCAGGCTGCAACCACATATCAAGCAAGGAAATGCATCATTGTGTCGTAACTTGAATGGCTATAGCTCTGAGAATACAATGCTATCTCAAAGGGACAAAGTCAGAAATAAAATTTCTTTGATTGAGGAGGCTATTACTTCAATGATTTGCGAGACTATTTGAGTTAAGAAGTGTGCTTCATTGAGCCTTTTAACTCAAAATTTATTTAAGTTCCTTATTTTTTAGACCAAACAAGCATACCCTAAGTTGCTGTAGAACTCTGATAAAAAAAAAAGTTGCTGTAGAACCAGTTCGAGATTACCACAACACAAGAAATGGAGGAAGACCTACTTCATTTACTCGCTGGAGCTCTGCTTCAGCCAGCTTTCTGTCCCATTCATCCTTAGCTTTCTGGTTCATTACCACAAGTCGTTGTCTAACATCAGAGGTAACCACAGTCTTGTGCCTGGGCTTCTCTAAATCAATCCTCTGCAGGATGCAATCTGAATGAGGAAACGTGCAGCAAAATCACAATACCAATGGAATTTCGAAGCAGAAATAACACAAATTGGAATGGGAGAACAAGTATAAATTAGCAAAGGTTACAAGGAACTGACCTGTTTCGACATTCTGATCATGTTACTTATCAAACTCCGCACTCTCTCCTCCACGCTCTAAAAAAACATCTATCAGAAAATGTCTAATATTTTTTAAGTGAAGACGGGATAAAATATTTTGCTTCTCACCAAGGACAAGCATTTCTCTACATCATTGCTAGCATTCTTCAGACCACACTTGGACACTGCATGGACATGCAAAGTACAAGTACATTAACATTACATAATTGACACTATTATCTCCTTCACAAACAAAGTACAAGTTAATGAAAGGAAGATTTAACTGATCTCCGCCACTTTTTTCTGAAGAGGAGTTTTCTGCAGAATCAGCCTCTCCTCGTCTTCTTGTACAGCTCTTCTAGATGCTTCGGAGACCCGACTGTTCTTCCTTTTTCTGTAAACAAATGCGCAAGGAACATTGCAAGATCAGTTCTTTCCCCTTCTCTCAGAGTGGGGGGTTCAGGTTCTTTAGTAATCTGATATTACTCGTTACACATTGGTCAAGCTTAATAATCGAGGAATATATTTACCTGAAGATTAACTCCACTGACAGCAGTGACATCATTCAGTTTTTTTTATTTTTTATTATTGATTCATTTTGGGATAGGCTTCATTTTGAATGGCTTTAATCCTCCAACTCCAATCCTTTTTAGTTCGAAATAGTATTGGGATTAGAATTTTCTATTAAATGTGTTGGTCGATGATAAAAGAGAGGAGTTTGTTATTGGAGACCTAATTTTAGGTTTGCATATGTTGAATTTACCAATCTTAATTTTTATTCTTAAACAATCAAGGCATTTGTTCAAATTTCACATAAAAATCTACGATTTTTAATTGAGAGATTTGGGTATATCGAATGTTGTCAGAACCGGACCAGACGTTGAACCAAAATAGTTAGTGGTTCATGGTTCATGGTTCAACGGTTAACCATTATAGAACCGTTGGTTAACTGTTGACAGAAACTTTCATGCTTTGTAACATCAAAGATATATCAAATACACTAACTTTGGGAAATATTTATCACCAACAATGAATAAGTTCAAATTTATATCATCTATCACCAAAAAGTTCTAAGAAAGTATTCAAACTATCTTACAAAAAAATCAATTTTTTTAATTCAACTTAGTAATCAGGATGACAAACCGTAGTGAACCATATAAAAATGACAAGAAAGTTGAGAAAGGGTGAAAATGGAGCATAAATAAAATGGTACATACAATTTATTAGTCAAACCTTTCAAACTTTTTAAATTGTTAGCCAAATCTTTCTAAATTATAAGAAAGTAGTACAACTCTCAAACTTATTCTCCACAGTTCCCCATTCATATTAATTAACTAGTGGCCGACTACCCCCATAGCTCATTTGATGTCTCCTCCCCCTTAGTATGAAATATGACTCTAAATAACTAAGTTTAGAAACAAGACAAACTTGCTAGCCAGTCAAGGCGGTGCCAAACCGACAAGGCAAGCTTGGTACCAAGACATGAAATTTGGCTAAGTATAGAGCCAAAGGGGTACCAAGCTGGCAAGGCAGACTTGGTACCAAAAGATAAGAAATTTGGCTAAGTATGCAGCCAAGGGGATGTCAAACCGGCAAGGCAGGCTTGGTACTAAGATGTGAAATTTGGCTAAGTATGAAGCCAACAGCGTACCAAGCAAGCAAAGCAGGGCTTGGTACCAAGACATGAACACCAAGAGGGTACCAAGTGGACAAGACGGGTTTGGTAGCCAACCAAGAGGGTACCAAGTCGGCAAGGCAGGCTGGGTACCACAAGATGAAAATTGGCTAAGTATGGAGCCAAGGGGGTACCAAGCCGACAAGACAGACTTGGTACCAAGATATGAAATTTGACTAAGTATGGATACCAAGCAGGCAATACTGGCTTGTTGACCATGCAACAAGGTGCCAAGTCGGGTACCAATTAGAGAGTCATACAGAAACTAAGTCTGGATATCAAGCCGGTGGACCATCCCTAGCTAATCAAGACCAATTATGGAACCTCAAGGGCGGAGACTTGTTAGCCAATGTACCGTGTTGACAGGGTATCAACTTGATGGGAAATTGGTGTCGGCCCCTTAGGGGGCCATATGGAGACTAAGCCCCAAGATGGGCTTGGTGGCCCCCTAACGAGATACCAAGTCGGGCAGGCCGGCAAGGTACTAACTTGATGAGATTCTAAACACTAGGTCTCGAGACCAGGCTGACATGAATGGCTTAATAGGAGGGTGTATCAAGCGGTATCAAGCTGACAAGACTGGCTTGATACCAAGATGACAAGTTGGTGCCATAACAAGCTCCCTAAGACTAACTGTAGAGACCTGGTGGGGGAAAAGAGACCAAGTTCTCATCCTGCCTAAGTGGGTAATAAGGCCTAGCTATCAAGACGGTTCCTCGAGGTGGCTAGCAAGATGAGGATGGAGACCAGGCCGAAATGAAGGGGGCTCTCTCATATAATCAAGATGGTAGAGCCCTCAAGACAACAAGAGTGTGGAGTCATCAGGGCTATTGAGGGTGTGATCAAGACTTCACCATGGAGGCTAAAGCAAAAGCTTCCATCCCATCCAAGACAAGGCAACAAGACTCAAGGCCAGCCTGACCCGCCTCGAGGCTATCAAGTACCAACTAGCACCAAGACGAGACAAGGGGTCCCTAAGGCGATTGGAGCAACAGACCAGCTAGCGGTTACCACAGTGGTTACCAAGGCAGTTACATCCAGTGACTGTAAATAGAAGTAACAAAGACTGGAAAAAGGTTCGACAACCAAACACTTGACAACACATGTCAAACTTTACCCTTTCTCTGCAATGTAGCCATACTTGTAGTCTTTAGTTTCTGGAGCTCTCAGTGAACCTCCATAGAAATAGAGTTGTTTCTTAGTATTTTCTAGCCATAAAAAAACTTCAAACACCCTCGTTCGAACATTATTCAGAGAGGTGTGAACAATGTTGTTAATCGCTGTTAAAAAATTTAAAAATGCAATCATTAAATTCAAACACCAGAGTTTACTCGCCGGAAAACACTATGTTATTCCAATATTCGGACTAGGAAGATAATTAACTTCGACAATCAAGACACGCTCATTTTGTTGGAATACATGTAAGTGTATTACTAACTTGCATTGACTTGTCAATCTAGCTTGTTTTAAACACTTCAACCGTAGACAGGGAATGCACTGAAAAACTCTCTCTCACCTTTCTTTTTTCTCTGCTTTCTATCTAGGTGACTAACCACTTGACAGCAAGGGGGCTACCGTTGGCGCCCCTCCGGCGACCTATGACAGCCCTCCCCCTCCGAGTTCTTCCTTTTATCCTTGCTCTTTCTGATTTGCTTCTTCTCCTTCCTTTTTCCCCCTGTTTGCCTTTGATTGGTTGAAGTTTCTGCTCTTTTATGGGCTCTTTCCTTTCCTATTTTCTGGGTGCTTTCCTGTCCCGTTTCTGGGTTCTTTTCACCCCCCTCTGTGGGATGTGCTTTTGGCCTCTGATTTGTTTGTTTCAGACCTAGAGATGGTGACTAATCTAAGATGCGAAGGAGGCTAGATTTGATGTAGATCTAGCTTGTTTTTTCCTCTTCTTTCCATTGTCTACCTCCTTGTCACTCTTTGCAGGTCATGGGGTTTCGGAGATGTAGCCCTATGGCGTCGGACTCGGCTAGATGAGCTTGAAGACAGAAGTGTTGTTTCTTTTGTTTCCTTTACCGACCGACCGGTCATCTCTGTTGTCGTCTCTTTGCGGTTCCGTCGGGAGGTGGAGAGCGATTGGACCGGGGTGGGCTCACCCCTCCATCCGGGATGGTGGAAGATGATTCCTCTGCTTGGTGCATGACGGCGTGGCTAGTGGGAAGTGGCGCTGCAAGTGTGTCAAAGCGGCGGTGCTGGTTTTCGGCTGCGGCGGTGGAGGATTCCAAAAGGGTAGATTTCGATTAGGGTTTAAAGGCTGAATATTGTTGTTGGGCTTTGGGTCTGGGCCCTATTGGGTTCTGGACCTGGTTTGTTGGAGCCTGATGGTTTGGTTTTCAAATTCGGTTGTAATCTGCTTGTACTTTTCCGTTTGGGTTTTTTGCCCGTTCTTATTCTTAATGAATTGCTAATTCAAAAAAAAAAACCGTAGAGAGCACAGCAGTAGCTGAACCAATCTCATTTTAGAATTTAAACACTTAAAATTTCGAGGGAAAATATTAATCCTCTACAATACCACACAATTGTATGTAGAAATCTAGTATCAAACGTTTATGTAATACGAGAAGTTTTATATAAAATGATTTTAATTGACGTCTTAATGTAAGAAGATGTCTCTCCACCTACTGAACATAACCAAATGGTTTTAATTGATCTTTGAATCCCACTATTAGGTTTTATCGGACCATATGTAGATTTTATCGGACCATTCTATAAGAACTTCACTACATTTTCAAATCTCAATAACTATAGAAAAGGCAGAACTCAACCAATAGTAGTAGCTATAGATACTCACCAGTACACATTTTCACAGATGAAATTCAAGCGCGGAACCTGTTGATGAACAACAGGTAAATCAAGAGCCCAATGCAATTCGGCCCATATTTAGCCCAAATCAAGAGCCCATACTGTAGTACTTAGTGTTTTATGAGCGCCAAGTTTCAAGCGCCTGAGTGACGTCAGAAGAACAATCCCTACTCCTTCTAATCAATTTCCCTTCGAGGTCGTTTGGATAAGGGATTGGAATATTGAAGGATTTGAATATATTATAAATATAAAATTACAGTTTTATCCTTTTCCTTAATTTACCCACAGACCCAACATAACCCCTAAACCCCTTCTATGTCGTACTCGTCTTCTTCCTCCCTTTGTTGAAATCGTCGGCCATGTAATCGACGGCGGCAACCAGCATCCCAAACAGGTCTAGGGTCGTCGAGCTTTGCCAGCGATTGGTTCCTTGAAGTTGATGCGATTTTTCGGCGAATTTTGAAGCATAACCATTCGAGAAGCTCTTGCTGCCTGATGGAACTAAATCCCATAACCTTCGAGACGCAGAGCAACCAAGTGCGACGAGGAAGAAATCCAATCCTAGAACCCTTCAATCCCAAATCGATGAATAAGAACCCAAAACCCAGAATCAAATCGACGAATGAGAACACCCAAACCCAAAATATGAGCTCCCACCCCGCTCACCGCTTGTTTCTTTATAGATCCGAGCCTTCTTTGACGAAAACCTTGTTTCTTTCCAGATTCATTGATGACGGAAGAAACTTTGGCGAGGCCGAGTCTGGCGAGGTTGAGGAGGCCGAAGAAAAAAGGACAGAAGAGAAGGAGGAGCGGAGGGAAGAGTGGGAATAAGAGAAGGGCAAGGCAGAATCAGATCGAGAGTTGGAAGAGAATAGGCAAGGACACAATCGACATACAATAAAAGTTGGGCCGGATTTCAAAATACCTAGGGGAGGGCAGTTATTTCCAATTTGGGATGGGCCGAATTTCCAAAACCCTCATGAACCAAATCTCGCGTTAGTGGGCACAGACCCAAACAACATAATTTGTTAAAATCCAGGACGGGCCGGGTTTTGGCCCAAATCCCTGTCCAGAAATCTGGATCC